AGGTTTTAAAAAAATAGATTTTTTTTGAAGGTCCCAAATGCTTAAAGAAAATTAATTAAAGCAAAAATGGAACTACAAAGAAACCAGAATCAAGGAATTTTAGGACTGCAACAGAACTTAAATACATCTCTTTTGAACTGTCTCATTACATTGCTTTTAAATTTAGATTCTGTTTAGAATATAGGCATATGAACTACTAAAACTTCCCAACTTCCCAACAATTATTGAAGATAATAAAAAAGCTCCTTGGTAAGATATACCATAAGGTATTATTTAGAATTTTTCGAAGTAACAATGAAATGACAGCATAGGCCTAATGCTGCCAGGGACAGAAAGAAGCCTGGCAACTCATGATTAGTCAAAATCATGAAACTTTGAGTGAGAAATGACTTTATACAATGTTAAATTATCAATCTTCACATGCAGCTTTCACTCCCACTTATGATACTCTAACAAAACCCACAGCTTCTATCACCTGAAAAGTTCCTAAGGAAACACCTTAATTTCCTGGACAGAAACGACTGCCAGCATTGTTACACTGTCCCTTCATTTTAAAAGAGAATCTTATATAAATTTCTTCTTCATTTCTTTAATCCACTTATATTTATTTACTCTTTAGAATTTCATATTATAAGTTCTTCAGAATATCTATGAAAATCTTATTACTATCTTTAATACTCTATATATAAAGCATTAAGGACTTAGCTTTTGTAATAAAAGAAAGTTTTTAGGTTGCCAGGCTACTCCAGATGTTAGTCTTCTTTCATGAATAAAAATTGTGGTCAGCCATAGAGTCATTTTGGGGCATTTACAGAAATACTTACATTCGAAAAAGTTTTAAAAGAATAAAATGGAAAGGGCAGGGGGCAGACTGAGAGAAAAAGGGAAGAGGAGAGGGGAAAGAATACAAATTCTCTTTATGGTGAGAATATTAGGTTTACATTTTCACTAAGGAGAAGCTTATAGTGGAAACTGATGCAGATAATAGTTACAAAATATAGAAACTTAGATCAAAAGTGATAAAATGTCCACGAAGAATCTAAATAACAAGAATCAGACACTAAAATCAGAATATTGCATTTACACACCTAGAAACAGTACTTGGAGTGACTCAGGAGGCTGAAGTAGGAGAATCACAAGTTCAAGGCCAGCCTGATCAAATTAACCAGATCCTATCTCAAAATTTTGAGCTGAGAATGTAGATCACTGGTAAAGCACCAGTAAATTCATTATCTAGTACCACACTAAAATAAACAAAAAGGAGTTGGCAATGTTTGAAATGCTCTTGAAAATGAAATTATAATGAAGGAGGAAAAACTGCTCCAAAAAAAGAATTATTAAAACACACAAAAAAGCACTCTGAACACAGCTGAAAATAAAATAATATAATCAGCTGAGTTACAGACTATGAATTCAAACAAAGCTTTAAAATTGTTGCATCTATCAATTTGATCAACATTAATGTAAGACAAAGTTGAGACTGAAGACAAAGATATCAAACTATGAAGTAGACAACCGGAATATGAGGATAGTTATTTCTGGAGCTGTGGGGTTCTTTTATTTTCATCTCATGTGATTGGGGATTTAGAGGCTAAAAATCCAAATCTCAGAAACCAGGTTAGGGTATAATACAAAAATTATAACTCATCTCTTCCTTAAACACATGCAGTTGAAGCTGTAGTCCAGCTCTCTGTTTCTTAACTGACATAACTGGATGATAAAATAAAGAAATGGTTAAAAACAAAAATCAGAGTTAGGTCTCAACATAATCTTTGGAAATGGTGAGAACACTAAATATCAAAAATAAAAATCTAGCTCAGATCCCAGTATCATCAACCCTACTTTAGGTTCATTACCTCACAATGATCTGACATTATAAAACCGTACTAGAAGTATTACAGAGACAAATGAGACAGGAGTCAATTCTCCAGGGAAGAGAAAAAAAGAGAGAGAGAGAGAGAGAGAAATGTGTCACAGTAGATTGAGTAAAGAGAGGTGAGGGGAGGGGAGAGGAGGGGGGGATAGGAAGGGCAGCAGAATACAACAGACACTAGTATTGCTGTATGATCAATGTGACTGTATAACCAATGTGATCCTGCAATCTGTACACGTGGAAAAATAAGATTTCATACCCCATTTGAATCAAATGTATGATATGTCAAGATCATTGTATTGTCTTGAGCAACTAATAAAAAAAAAACTAACAGAGTATTTGAGTCCAGAGTGACATCTACTCTTTATAATTGGCAAATTAAAAAAACAGCATCTGTAAAGACTAATTCTAGCCTCAGAAACCTCTTTTATTATCTTTCCCAAACTGACGTTAAAAATTTCAACTTAGTTCGACACTCTACTATCTGATCTTATTAATTTATTTATTCTCTGAGAGTGGTGATATAATACCTAAGATGTCTTTGCTTCCAAAATACTATTGCTTCTTCACTGTATGATATAGAATCACCATGTATAATCACCATGTATAATTCTCGCATATGCCTCATGAAAATGAATAAAAGGTGTTCAAAAGCCACTTACCATAAAAGAAAATAGCTATAATAATTACATTTGTTGTATAATCATATGTCCCAAGCTAAATATCATACAAGACCATTTTGCATTCCTGATAAATTACACTTACTTTCACAAGATAGGTTAAAAAATAATTTGGGATGAAGCACAAGGAAGAAGTGATATATTCTCTGACCAAAGATATGCTCTTAGAATCCCATAAGCTTCTTCAGAAGCTCCATTTAAAAGAAGGTCTACAGCTCCTCTGGAATCTAAAACTGACAACCAGAGACTGCTTCCTGAAGAACTCAGGTCTAAGGATACTTTTAAAATGTAATCATTCCAGACACAAAATTCAAAGAAATCATACTTAAGTGTTTAGTAAAAATTAATATTGCAAAACTGCCACACAAAAGTCAATTATCAATATTATCAGTTACTTCTCTGCAATACTTAAAACTGCAATTATTTCTCAAGAGAATTGAAAATGGAACTTCATAGACAAAGTTCACTCAAAATGGATAACTTGAAAAAAGGAAAAAACTGGCATCCACTGAGGATTTGAATCATTTCCAATTAAAAATTAGAAACTATGTGAATCTGAAAATCATTGTAAAGTTATACTCACGAGTTACCAGTTCTCTTGTCCACTGAAAAAGATTTAGATGGCTTCAACACTAAAAATACAAATGACCATATTTTTTGAGGAGACAATGAGTTAAGATTAATAGAAATCTGCTTTAAATCAATTCCAAAGAGTGATTAATCAGACTGCTTTCCTTTTAGAACATGCCATATTAAAAACAGCAAAATTGATCAGAAACAGCTTTAAAATCAGAATGGATAGACTAGTCCTGGTTCTGCCTCTACCATGCAAAGGACAATGGTACCTTTGACAATAGGACTGCTCAGTGTTTGAGCACAGGAGCAAGGCAATAACTATGGATGGAACTCTTAACACCCTAGTGAAGTGATGAGATGGCCTCTATGCCTCTATGTCCTACATTTATTTCTAATTTGTCAAGGTGAATGAAAGAATATCACCAAACTGTCGCTACAAGATTTCACTTTGGCTCTACAATGGAATAGGAGCTACACAATAAAAAGAGCTGGATATATCAATAAGAATTGAATATATTTATCCAGTCTTGCCTGTAAGTAAGAACTGCTGGCTATTTGAAGATGCTCTATATTCACTTAAATTTCATTAACCTAATTGATCACATGAAAGAAGACACCAAAATGTTTTCTGGGCCTACTAATGTAGAAGTTTCTTAAAAGGGAGATACTGCCTCTGAAATTAAGTAAATCATATTATTTAGACTTTAAAGAGTGCCCATATTTTCTCTCTTACCCTACCCAAAGTGAAAGTCACCAATAATTCAGAAAGATATTGCCCTCAGATTCATTCCTTCAAACTACAGTCACCATGTGTGAACTTCCATACTGAGATCTAACTATACATAATCATAACATAAATTTTCATCATACAAGGCATGTTTCTTCACCTTATCCTTCAGGTTTTTAACTGTGGTTGTAAGAAAATTAAATTCTTTATCATTTAATGATCTGAAAACATCAAGCTCATCTCCTGCTCTAAGGTCATCAGGGAGGGAGATCTGGCAGTGATCTGGCAGGTCATCATGTTTAAGAATGTTCTTTTTGCTCTTGAAAAACAAGACACCTTTTAAGAAAATTTAGCATAGAACACAACTAAATGGCAAAATGTATGACACAATAGATTAGTGGAATGGAGATCAACACTGGATCTAAGTTTCAACAGGGTTTTTAGGAAAAACTATTAAGACCAAGAGGAAATGTGTCCCCAAATGGAGGATCCTTTGTTGTTAAACATTTTATTTAAAGTTCATGGCAATGCCTGGCGTAGAGCAGATCTTTAAAACTTGTTTAGTATGAATGTAAGAATGAGTAAGTGGGAGAAAGACCTCAGGCTACTGGAAAAGTTGGAAATGAGCATGGTTTCTTCAGGCATCAACTGAATATCTCCACCTTGACTATTACTTAGGATAATTATTCTTAATGATGCCAGTAATAATCCTGTACAGAAAAATTAAGTAAAATTTTAAATTTTTGAGGCCTTGAAAATGTCAATGTAGATTTGATAAACTGGCCGTTCCTACAGTTTGTGAAGCAGAAGAGGACTACATAGAAATTTACCTAATATTTCGACAATGGATACAATAGGACAATTCAGAGAAGGACGAACAAAAAAAACATTAAATTATGAAATTACACAGAAAAACTCATGCAGGGGCTGGGATTGTAGCTCAGTGGCAGAGAGCTTGCCTCACACATATGAGGCACTGGGTTCAAATACAAATAAATAAATGAAATAAAGGTATTGTGTCCATCTAGAACTAAATATATATTAAGAAAAAATTCATGCAATCTTATATTTCTACTATAATTAAATGTATCCACATGAATGGAATAACTGAAGAGGTGAAGCAATAGTAAAACAAGATACTTACTGCTGTCCAGGCATTTCTTTTGCACCGGGCACAGAGCCATCCAGCACAGATCTCATGAGAAGGAACACCATAACAGCCTAGGAAATAATAGCATGGATCCATGCATTAGGTCTCATGCATCTTTACAATATTACATATCTCAATACTGACATAAATAAAATCATATCATTTGCCCACTATATACTGTTTTTTATTTGTGAGGCTTAAAACAAAATACAAGCAAGCCTGTGTGAAAGATATTTTTGGTTCTCCTGCTTCATGATTAACAAGACATGATTAACAAAAAAAAAAAAAAAAACATGGTGGTGTGGGTCTTAAGGTTAACTAATGCTCACAATATTTCACAAAGATAATTCTTGAGTAGACAATATTTTTAAGCTTCCAAGTCTGGCCTTTCACACATGTATAAACATTTCCAAGAAGAAGCAATCCATTAAGGAAAGTGTTTTGAAATGCTAAAATAAGTAAACAGCAAATTTTGATGTACTACTTTTTAAATTCATGTGATTTAAAATTATACTTTAAAAATTACACATTATTATCCTTCATTTCAGTGATAGGGCAAAGACTACACAATTTGATTAGTGATGAATTAATGTCCTTAATTCAACTTGTCTGATGGGTCAATGCCTGTCCCAAAATGAATATGAAGATGATTAAGGGTACAAATATATAACAATTATATGGCAGCAAGAAACATGTTGCCAAAAGGAGTGGCACATGCCTGTCATCCCAGCAACTAGGGAGGCTGAGGCAGGAGGATCGCAAGTTCAAGACCAGCCTCAACATCTTAGCGAGAATTGATCTCAAAATAAAAAATGAAAAGAAGTGAGGATGTAGCTCAGTATAAAAGCACCCTTGAATTCAATCCCCAGAATCAACAAACAAAATAAACAAACAAACAAAAAACCTAATTTACTGAAAATAGAGGGATTTGAAAATTCTATGGGTAGTTTTTACAAATTTCAGTAACATTTGAGATAGGAACAGAAAGTAACAGAAATGTAACTATCCAAAGAAACACCTATAGCAGTTAACCAATTCTTTAAAATATGAAGTAAAAGTACACATTTATGAAATAACATAGCTAAACTGTATAACTGCTACATTTACAATCAAGATTAAATGCCTATATTTTGTGTCCTGATGCTTTGCCTCTTAAATATACATACTAACATATGGTGAAACTGTGCTTGTATGCATGCATGTGTGTGTTATTAATTAATATCAATAGAAGAAGATTGCTATTATTATATTTCAAGCAGATGACATTCAAATCTCTTCAGGAAGTATATGGTATCTAATTTATAAATTTATCAGGAGGTAATTCCAACTCTAAAACTATTATTTCTTTGGGGTAAATATGAATGAAGATAACTCCATCATAAATCTTTTAAACTACACATTGAGAAAGACAGACCGTACGGAAGTTGTTAATAGAATACAAGGTTGAGTAAAATTGGAAAAAATAGAATTATTTAAAATAGAGTTGTATATAATGAATCCCTTTTACATATACTATAGGCTTTATACCAGTTGTATTATTGTTGTTATTTTAAATATATTCACCACTTCCCCCATTTGTGTAAAAAACAACAAATTACAGGCATGTGCTACTAAACCTGGTTATTTTTGCAATTTCTAAATTAAAATAAATAAATTAAAATTGCAATTTCTAAATTAAAATAAAGACTAAAACTAAAAGAGAGAGAGACAGAGACAGACAGACAGACAGACACAGCCTAATCATCTCATTTGGGAGAAAAAACTATTATAATGATTATTCTCCCCTGGAAAACAGTAGAGATTTCCTTTTACTTATAAAAAATAACACTTTAACTCAATACAATAATAACTCTAAGAATCATGAAAGGAAGATTGATTTCTCCTTAAAAAGTCATAAAGAAAAATACTCATCAATCAACATCAGATGTTCACGTTAAGTTTTATTATAAGGTAAGTAAAACACAAGCATGTGAAAGAAAGGTGCCTCATGATGGTACCTCACTTGAACACCAAATAAACAACAACAATTAAAAAAAAAAAACAGGCCTACTCACCACTGGTATTGCATAAGGAAGACTGGGGGGGGGGGAAAGGATAATTAATTATACACCCTCATACTTTCACTAAAAGAAATATGAGGGAAAAAAATGATTCAACCATCAAGAATGTCAATAGTTCAATACAATAGATTTGACAGGTTCCAAATCGGTGAGCAATAAGAACTACGTGAAGCACAGAAAAGTGAGTGCAGAAAAGTGAGTGATTGATGGACTAAAAATGTATTTACTTGCATGAACCCGTACGCAGCATTTAGCACAAGAAATCAGAAGGCTTGTTCCATCCTCTTCAAGGAAGGCGTTGGGTGGAGAATATTCTATATTTTCTTCGCTATAAATAAAACACATCTCGGGAATGAGGGGCTTAGTCTTTCCTCCTGATGCAACCACCTCATCTAATTTGGTCTCCCATCTAGAATCATTTTCTTCATTGCTGCTATCTGGCTGAAAAACACAACATTTCCATGTTGAGTGAAAAAGATGGTAAACAGTTCATAATTCATTCTTGTCATTCCAATCCACTAAACCCTCTTCTAGCCATTTGCTTTCACCTTTTGTTATTCCTGTTGTTTTCCTTATCCCAATGATTATTAGCTTTTTCTTTTTTTTTCTTTTTTTCTTATTATTATTTGTTCAAAACATTACAAAGCTCTTGACATATCATATTTCATACATTTGATTCAAGCGGATTATGAACTCCCATTTTTACCCAGTGTATAGATTGCAAAATCATATCGGTTACACATCCACTTTTTTACATACTGCCATACTAGTGTATGTTGTATTCTGCTGCCCTTCCTATTAGCTTTTTAGTAATGGTCCTTCTCAGGCTCCCATCAAGAAATTAATCTATGCCTGCAATCCCAGCAGCTCGGGAGGCTGAGACAGGAGTATTGTGAGTTCAAAGCCAGCCTCAGAAAAAGTGAGGCGAGACCCTCTCTCTAAATAATATACAAAATAGAGCTAGGGATATGGCTCAGTGGTCAAGTGCCCCTGAGTTCAATCCCTGGGCCCTGCTTCCTACACACACACCAAAAAAAAAAAAAGAAAGAAATTAATCTGAAAGAACAAGAAAATATTTTGAATGTCTGCTCATAAAAGAAACTGATGAGCTACTAAAACTGTGTTCTTCTAAAAAGAGTTCATGGAAAGCATGTATTCTTCTTATGAATTTTTTTACCTCTTCATTTCTAATAGGTAAACACATGTATTGATTTAATAAAAATATTACCTGGTTAGCATTTTAAGGAATATTTTCAAACACCAGGTTTAATTTGAGTAACAGAACTGAGGAGGGGTTCTAAAGCATTTGCCTTATGACAAGGCTTAAAGAGTAAGAGATGTTACTGGTACACATGGCCAAATAAGGCAGAATCATGACAAACAAAAAACTGTCATCTCTCCAAAATATATGAAAATGTTAAGTATTTGTTCCATTTATAATTTATGAATTGCTTTATTATCTCCAAAGATCTCATTTAAATAAACTTTCCCAAATTTTATCATTTTAACTGAAAATTTTTTTATTATTGGGAATTATATAGGTAGATTGAGATGTTAAAATTTTAAAAATTAATGAAAAAAAATTTGGGCTCAGAGCTGGCACATATTTTGAGAGCAACATTTTCAAACATAAAATAGTAACCAAGACTAAATTCTCTCTCTGCATGGTTCTGTTTTTAAGCTTTAAGTTTAGTTGTAAAAACAACAGAAACATTGAAATGACTCTTTCCCTGAAAAAAAACAAGATATTCAAAAAAGAAAAAGTACTATCAGAAAAATGGTTCCCAAGGGGCTTGTAGAAATCATTGTTGTCCTGCGAAGAACAATAGCTAAGAAGTATTGCCATCTTATTTCTGATGAATACTCACCTACAATGATTCACAAGTGACCTCTTGGGTGCATAGTCACAGAAAGTGGACCAATGTAAGGACAGGTTGACAGCCACACCACCCCAAATTACCTTGTAGTATGGCATGAGCAGAGTGCAGATGGCACAGTGTGGCTCCATTTTTGCTGCTGCTGCATTATATTCTTGTTCAGCCACAAAGTTAGGGGACTTTGTCTGCCAAAGGTGAATAAGAGGCTTCGCCCAAGTCTCTGTTTCTTCTACTTCTTCCTCAACTGATGGAACTTCAGGCAACTCTTTTAGAAGACACAGCATAAAAATACAATGAGAAGCAACCCAAGGGAAACCAATCACCCTAGTTATAAAAGAAGCACATGTTCCAAATTGTGACATCAATGCCAGACACCAAGCCTATGTTGTCTATGATACATTCTGAGATATAAAACAGAATAAAAGGAGTTTGATTCTCATTCTCTTCATCCTTTAAAGCCAAAGTCAGACAACCAACCTCCCTTTTTCACAATCCCCATACTTGCCAGGAGTAAAATACCCTCTTTTTCCAATGTCACTACATTAGTATTTCTATTACTACCACAACACTGCCTATGATAAAATAAGTTTATGTTCATAAACATAATATTATCTTCCAGTTAGCAGGATACTCTAACACTGAGAATGCTTATTAATATGCTTACTTTCTTTACCTAACATAATATGTGGTTCAATAAAATTTTTATCAATTGGACTTCATGGAATTAACTTTGGAGTTCAAGAATCCATGACATTTACAGAGCACTTATGATATGTCAAGCAATATACTACCATTACATGGATATAAAAAATAATCCCTATGTCAAATCTTCTCATTTGTTCTGTATGATTCTCTAAGAGGGTTAAATCTATTAACATGCAAATCTGTTACTAGAAAAAAGTAGAAAACACCTCCACAAAATATCACTTTAAAATCTTTCAGAGCATTGGAAAGATACTGCATATTAGAAAAATATTCCTTTTGCCCATAGCAGAGGACAGTATATCTCAGATGAAAAGGCATGTCTTGGGCTTAATATTCCTCACCAATAACTGTGACATGCTTATTAAAAAATATTCTGCACAGTGATGTCCTTAGTTATCCAAATCACTGGTGAACCACTGTGTTCCAGCCCTTGCCATGTTAACTTACCTACTCTAGAAAAAGTCAAAATAGATTTACATAGACAGAAAAAAATGAAATAGTGAATGAGGATAAAATTAAAGATGTCAAATTCCAATGGAATAAAAAAGGAATGATCCTATTTCAATGATGGTGGTGGCAGGGGCGGCAGGGGCGGCGGCAGCAGCAGCAGCAGCAGCAGCAGCATTGTTATTATAATGGAGAAACACCTGGTATATAGCTAGGAGCACAGTGTTTGAAAACAAAAGGTGAGACCCTTTGCCTATATTTAAGATGAAGTAATCTGATGTTAAATATAAATTACTTCCACCTAAGTTGCCCTACATTTCACAACAGAATATTAGAGAAGAGTTGACAAATGAAAGTTAATTAGAAATTATGAATAGCAGTAAGTCCTTCTCACAGGTTAATATCTCTTATAGATACTAAATATGGCTACTACTGATTGGCTTAAAATTAGTTTACCGCATCACTTGCCTTTTTGAAAAACACTGAAACACATGAGACAAAGTTTTTATCCCTGGTCTCAAGTTATTATGAGGAATTCCCAAAATATTTCCAAGATCAGAGGAAATACTTTCTAATTCCTGAAGTCCAGAGACAGTGAAAAACAGGCAAAGACAGGGAAGAACAACAGAGCCAGGAAGTAAAATGGAGCCACAGAGTAGGTGAGTGTGGGCAGAGCTGTAATGGTCCATCTGATTAAAACTCATGGCAAGGTTTGGCCTAGGATGGCCTGATAGAATAAAAAAGACCTCCTCAAACTTTCTCAACACTTGACGTGTAGAGAGGATCCAGCTCTATATCTGTCCTAGACCAAAGCTGACATAGAATAAGGCCCCAAGAGCATTTCTCTCCACCATCATAATGTAATCCAATAATTCAAAATCATTACAGGAGCAACACTGTGCAGCACCAAGCACTGGGACCTGCCAGAGACCCAGCACCAAATACGAAAGTATATCAAGGTTTAGGAGAACTATGAAAACATTACCAAGCACATAACTCCCTTCATTCCTAATTGTATTCTCAATAAGTCAGGAGAGGACCAACTATCATTACTTGAAAACATTCTTTTGAGCAAGTCTTCTTTTCCACATACTAAATGAGCCAATGCAGAATGAATAAGTTTTAGAATCTATGGAGAGGAGGTAGTTACAGAAATGGCTTGGTTTGGCAGGTCGGGGGGGGTGGGGGGGGGAATAAGACAACAGCAGTTCTCAAAGAATGATCTATAGACTTCAGATGATGCAATACACCAGTTGTACCATCTATGTAGCCAAAACCAGTTTCACAATAACACAGACATGTTATTTGGTCTATGTCACACTATTGACATTTGTAATAGTGACATAAAAGCAGTGGGGGGTAAAATTATTGGTGCCTTAGCTTAAATCAAGGCAGCATCACCAAAGTATTATATTCTTGATTACCTCATATTTTCAGAGGACTGAAAAAAATGAAGAAAAAAAAAGGAAGTTTCACTTAATGTTCTTGATGAAAAAAGTATCAGATTTATTAAATCTGTGACAAAAAAGGGATATATGTATAAAGTATATCTGTACACACTGAAGTTCAGCAATTGTCTGGGTTAAAGCTCTTCTGACATTAACTTGAACTGCAAGGCAAAGAACCTGTCTTTTTCATGGAGAACCATTTTTACTTGAAAGAAAAAAATAAATCAAGATTCTTCAGTATCTAGCATGGAATTTCATGAAAATGAACAAAAAAAAAGTCAGCCTTTTTACAAAAAATAACTGATCTACTTGAAACTTATACCTCACAATTAAAATGTTGGAAAAAGTGTGTCCATTATTGTGAATGTAACACTGTCCAATACTCAAATAAATTTCCAGTGGGACTAATGGTAATGATAACAAACGTAATTTTTAATTAAATATCATATGAGATTTACCAATGTCTAAAAGATCTCTATAACTCAGATCTTGTTTAGAAATACACAATGCTAAAACAAATTACATATGGAGGTGAGTGTGGTGGTGTATGCCTATAATCCCAGCAACTTGGAAAGTTGACCCTGGAAGCTTCAAGTTTGGGCAAGCCCAAGCAATTTAGTCAGACCCTATCTCAGGATGGAAGAAAGGTTGGGAGGGAAGGAAGGAAGTAAAAGACAGGGTATTGTAGCTCAGGGGTAAAGTGCACCTGGATTCTGTTCACAATGATATTTTTTATATGAACGAATTAATCAATTATAAAATATTCTATTCCCATTGTACTTTTCATTCTTCTTCAGCGAGCCTCACAGTTCATGGTGGTGATTCTGAAATTGTTACCAAACAGTGCCAAAACCCTGTAAATGGTACTATACAGTAAAGCAAAGAATGAGCCCCCAAATAAAGTGGTTCCTTATGTCTTCATAAGCACTTCTGAATTTGCACAAGCAGATTATAACACAGCTCCAGACTCTACATTATCAGGAATTTCATGGTGAATAAGGAAGCTTAAGCAAGGGCTTATGCACCATCCTGTGAAAGAGGGTCAGCCTCATAATTAATACTACTAGATGGCCACACTAGAAAACAGATACTATCTTTAATAAATATGCTGAAAGGACCACTTAAAAAATACTGCCACCATACCAGCAAAAATGTTCAATAGCTCTCTGAAATTACTAAATAACTACATTGCTAAAAAAGAATAACTTTATTTTATGAAAGACCATGCCAAAAGTTCAAACACCAAATTCCTTGGTAAGTCCTGCAAAACTCATCCAGAAAATAACTTTTAAAATGTATGCACTAAATACTAAGCTTTTCTAATAAAAATATAGACAATAATAGTCAGAACCAGAGCAGAAAGACAGCTAACACTGATGTATAAATATTTCCATGAAAAGGCTTTTTTATGCCTTCAAAGAAAGAAAAATGTCTTTATTTCTCCTCTTCACTCAAAAGCCACACACAATCAGCTGAAACTATTATTTCAAAGTACAATGAAAAATATTCTGCCCAGGCATGGTGGTGCACACCTATAATCCCAGTGGCTCAGGCGGTTGAGGCAGGGCGATCACAAGTTCAAAGCCAGCCTCAACAAATTAGTGAGACACTGTTTCTAAACATAAAATGTATTTTTAAAATATTTTTAGTTGAACATGGGCACACGATGCCTACATGTACACAATATCTCTATTTTACTTATTTATTTTTATGTGGTGCTGAGAATTCTTTATTTTTATGTGGTGCTGAGGATTGAACCCAATTCTTCACACATGCTAGGCTAGTGCTCTACCATTATGCAATACCCCAGCCCCTAAAAAGTATTTTTAAAAGGGCTGAGGATGTGGTTCAGTAGTTAAGTGCTCCTGGGTTCAATCCCTGGTATCACAAAAAAATTTAAAAATTGTAAAAATAAATCCAGCACACAAATCTGTATATACAGGATGATGCCAATTCTATAAAACATACATTAAAAGGAACATAGGCGGGTTATAAGTTATTATGATTATAAAACTATCCAAGCTTCAAAATTATAGTCAAAATAATAACAAGGGGGAAATGAATTGGCAGCGGGTGAGGGGACCTTTCCTTAGGAACAGACTGAGGTCAATTCATTCACTCAGTATAGGCTTTTTGAATAAATTCTGCTGATTTTATATGGATTTTTCTAAAGAACACATTTGGGTTATTTGTGGAAGGACTACTGCCAGGACATGCTGATGGAATTCGGCAGATGGGAAAAGGCACTGAACTCCATTACAGGAATTTCCCTTTACCAGTCTCCATGATGACTGCACTGCTTGGGGATATGTTCCAATTATGTTTTTTGGCCGATACAGCACCATTCTCTGCTATGAAAAGCATGGCAACATCTGTTATGTTTCAGGTACTTGAGCAAAATCTGAATCCTGGGGGGCATTATATATGGTTTCAAACATCCTGGAGGAAATAGAGGGTGAGGAGGAGAATGAAGATGAAAGCAGTAATGAGTTACTCAAAAAAGCAAGGAAGATAGAAACTTTGGAATTTTAGTATTCTTATACTGTATGTGAACTATATTTCAATGTTCATTTTAGTTGATGAATAAGAAAAGTTTATAAAGGTGTGTTCAGAAATACAAAAGATTAAAAAAAAATAACCGAGGTTCAGGTACAATCTTAAAGGC